TTCAGTGCCGTTGTAACTTCAAGCGGTCACTAAATGAACTGTTGCAACTCGAGGACTACCTGTGCTTATATTCATCTAATGCAGTGTTTTTCAACCTTTTTTGTGCAAAGGCACACTTTTTTCATGAAAAAAATCACGAGGCACACCACCATTAGAAAATGTTAAAAATTTTTAACTCTGTGCCTATATTGACTATATATAAAGTAATTCTCTGTTTTTCCCACGGCACACCTTATACTATGTCACGGCACACTAGTGTGCCGCGGCACAGTGGTTGAAAAACACTGATCTAGAGCACAAAGCCAGCTGGGTGACCTAGGCCTAGTTATTAGCCCTGGGAAGGAGGCAATGGTACACCACTTCCATAAAATCTTGCCAAAAAAACTGCAGGGACTCTTAGAATCAGATGTGACTTAATGGAAGAAGAAAGAAGAAGAAGCATCACATGAAGAAAAATGTTGACAAAGACCCATCCATGCAAACAATAAAAGAGTTCTAATAATTAAAATATGCCATATTTATGGATCTGCTAAGCCAGGTCAAGTTCCCATCTCAATGTTGTCAGGAACCAGGCAAAACATGGGAAAGAGAACGGATAATATTCCACAAGCAGGTGCATCAACAGAGAAGGCTTAAGTGTTCCACTGACTAGAGAGAGAGTAAGGTGGTGACAGGCAGCAGGGAAAAGACTGAACTGCTTAATTTCTAGCATGCACCTGTCTTGTTCAAAAGGGAAAAGTGACTGGCTTGTAAGAAGCTGCAGCATGGGGAGCAGAAGAGAAACACAGATTGAATGAGAACCAAAGAACAATTACAAAGAATGCATTGAGGGGCCTTGGTTCATCAAAGTCCAACAGATCATCTGTGCTGCTGCTGCACAAAACCTACCTACATGTGCTGTAACAAGGAGTACCTCACCTGTGAGCAGCATAGGTTTGAATCTGGGCAACAAAATATCTAACTACGAATCCGGTTCAGCTGTCCCCATAAAAGGAGCAACGAAGAACACATTTAATAGTTTCCACCTCTCCAGAATCACAGGGGCAGAGCCTTTGAGCCAAGGGTCCTTTTTATATTTGCTATCCGATGCTGCAGAGGAAAGAAGAAAGCATTGGGCAGGAGAAAGCTTCCCAATGGCTGTGTAAGGTAGCTGGCAGCTGTGACCAATAGGGGAGAGGAAGGCTTCCCTAAATCTGCTTTCCTCTCTGCATCCTTTAGGCTCTGTTCCACCGGATTACACTCCATCTAAGAACTGAGGAAGGAGAGGAGCCTAGATTTAAAAGTTTAGATTCAACACCCTTGACCCGTGGGGGCTGAAAATTGTCCTGAAGAATCTCGGAGGACAGCAGAGGACCTTTCCCCAAAGGTTTACAGATAGTAGACCACTCTTGACTCAACTTTGCTCGGATGGGTTTGGATTGCAACCTCTCTAGAGAGGAGACACCCAACGCCCAGCGGCTCAGCCTGAAAGTGCGGCTGGAAGTTGTAAAGTTTCCCTCGGACTAGGAAACTTTAAGGAAACTTTAAGGTTGGCAGAGCTTTGCCGCAGAAGTGGCGGCGGCATTTTCGCAGGCGGCTTTCCTTCCGCCAGCGGCATGTGTGGCTGCTGCCAAGTCCTTAAAGCTCGTCCCTTGGGCTATTTTACGGCCAGGGACACTCCCTAAACGGAGCTTCGGTCTTGGGGGAGCTTCCCCTCCAGGTGAGGCTGGAGAGGAGAGAGGAGAAAATGGGAAAGGAAAACTTCGTGGCGGCCTATCAAACGCGCCGTGAAGACCAGAGCGGAGCTTTCCTGATTAAACGAGGCCGGTCTCTGAGACAGGCAGGGACCTCCAGGGCCTCCCGGGAAAGCACCCAGGCCCGGCCCTGCCCATTCCCGCCCGGCGCCCGCCTCAGCCCTCGTCCCGAGCCGGCCAGGGAGGGAAAGCCGCGCTGGGGGGCCTGGGCCGGGGCCCACCTTGTCGGAGTCGAGGTCGGGGTCGGCCTGGCAGAGGCGGAAGAGGAAGCTCTTGGGGTCCCTGCAGAGCGTCTGCCGGGTGGTGAGGAAACAGGTGCCGCCCACGTTCAGCCGGACCCACTTCCCGGGCAACGCCGCGGGAGGCCCGCCGCTCGACGGGGCGGCGGCCCTGGAGGGGCTGCAGCGGCGGAAGGGCGTCGAGGGAGGCCGGCCCAGGCTCAGCCCGCCCGCCGGCGACGCCGGGAGCTCGCAGGCACTGTCCGTCGCCATCCTGGCCCGGCGCCGGAAGGTCCTCCGCGAAAGGCGTCCCGCCGAGCCAGCCGCGCCCCCGACAGCGCAGAGCCCGACGGAGGAAGGGGCGGGACGGGCGCTCCCTCGCTTCCGGTCCCGCTGGAAAGGCGGGTCTTCAGTCCACCTCCAAGTCCCGTCTTCTGGCCTCAGGCGAAGGAAGTGGGGGTGGAGCTGCTCTCGCTGGAGCCCAAAATAGCAATGGGGGTGAGGGCAGAGTGCGCTGAGTTGTAAAGGATCTGGCAGGTGTCATCTCGCGACCACATCTCTCAAAAATCCTGCAGCCCGGGGGATCTACCTGAGGACTGGCAAAGAGCTGATGTGGTTCCCATCTTCAAAGGGGGGGGGGGGTGGAATCCGAGAAATGACAGACTAATCAGCCTAACATCAATTTCTGGGAAGATACTGGAAATGATAATGAAAAAACAGATCTGCCAACATGTAGAAAGGATTAAAGTAATAACTAGCAGCCAGCATGGGTTTGTTAAAAACAGATCATGCCAAATAAATTTTATTTAGTTCTTCAACATAGTGACTAAATTAGTAGACCAGCAAAATACTGTGGACATAATATACTTAAGACTTCGGTATTCGGCAAAGTAGACCACAACCTACTTCTTGGTAAGCTAGAAAAAAGTGGGATAGCAAAACCACCAGATGGATTCGTAACTGGCTAACAAACCCTACTCAACGAGTAGTCCTTAACGGGTCTACATGGAGGGAAATAAGCAGTAGGGTACCACACGATTCTGTCTGTAATGGCTCCTCTCCTAACTTGAGAAAGTAAAAACTCTTGAAACGGATTATTTGAAAAGGAACCTTTAATCAAGCAGGATGGAAACCATTAGAAGCAAAGCAGCATCTGAAAACCTTTAGGCCATGCAAATGGGATTAAGCTGATAATGACCCCTCCCCTTTGTCCGAATGCAGATTCTGACCAATACAGAAGTGTGAAGATGCTTCCTTAACTCTTCTCCCTGGGAGTCAATAAAGCACACGTTCCCATGGCTATCTAGTTAGACATCAAAGTTATATACCCCACATGGCTACCATAAACATCCCTCGGGAGTGGGGCGGCATACAAATTAAATAAACATTCAACATTCAAACATTCCAGAGGTGACAGGAAACCGGTTGTAAAGTTGTAAAACTCAGTTGTTTCAGATGTAGCTAATGATTTAAC